CCAGCCCCTCCTGGCAGTGACAGGCGCTGGCGAGCAGGGTGTGGTCAGCAGCAGGATGGAGCGGGACCCCAGGGGGCACTGCCAGTTCTGTGCAAATAAACGGTCCTGTGAAGAGAAGCCCCTGTGACGGGCAAGAACTCCAGGTCCGGAGACCGGAGGCCCAACTAAAAGATTTGTCAAAATGCAGGGACACGAATGCCTGTTCCTGGACGTATCTCTGAGGTTCCAGTTCCACTGGCTGAGAAGACCCCCGTGGCTGATTGTGAGGAGAGCTGGAGAGCTCAGTCTTGTGGAAAACAGAGCCGGTGGTGTGAGATAGCTCACCGCACCACAACACACCAGCCGGAGAAAATACATAAAAGCAGTCAACTCGGAAAGCACGCCGCCGGCGGGGTGACCCACGGGAAGGTATAGATGCCGTTTCTGCCGGGAACCCTCCCCCGGACCCCTCTGGGGCGGCGGGGGCTGTCGATGGCGAGGTTTGTCCCCGATGCTGGAGAGTCCGAGTCCTGCAGCGGCCGGCTACCTGCTCAGGGCCACGGCTGGCAGACGGGCCGCCCTGGGCCCCCCTCGGGATCCAGGCGAGCTACCCCGCTGGAGGGGAAACACCGCAGGCCTCCAGCCGGCGAGGCGGGCAGAGGGCTGGGATGGGAGGCGTGACCGGGAAGGTTGGGCCCAGAGGTGCAGGGAGCAGGTGGCCAGGAGGAGGAGGAGGACGGCCTGCGTCGGCTAAAAGGTGGGTGGGATGCGGCTCGAGGACTAAGAAAAGCTTCCCTGACCGGGAATCGAACCCGGGCCGCGGCGGTGAGAGCGCCGAATCCTAACCACTAGACCACCAGGGAGCGGCGGACTGACCTGCGGGCCGGCGCCTCCTGCTCCCGCGCCGCCGTGCCCCGCGGGCGCCAGCGCCTCCGCCTTGCCCGTGCAGCTGCCCGGTGCCCTGCCCACCGTGCCCGCGCTCTCCCCGCCGGCCGCGCCCTGCACCAGGCCCACGACCCAGGGGCAGCCCCGGGCCCCGCACTCAGCAGCGGGGCCGGGAACGGCGCCGGGTCAAGACCGGCCGCGGTGCTCACCCCTGCCCACCGACCTCCCTGTGCGGAACGGCTCACGCCTCCCCCTGCCCTGGACGCCCTCCCTGCCGCAGCCGCTCCGCGGCGAATCCCAGCCTTTTCCGAGAGCAGGGCCCGACGCTCAGCCACGGAGTCGCCCCGCCGCCTCCGCGCAGCGCTCCCCTTGCAGGCCCGGCCGCCTCCGGGGCCTCTCGCTGCCCGGCTGCTCCTGTCCTCGGGTTCCTCGCCGCAGGGTCTCCAGCGCCCTGGTCCCCAAAGCCCTTCTCCACCGGGTGACACTGCCCGCACCGACGGGGCTCCCCCCGACCACTTGCGGCCCAGCTGTGCTCCGTCGCCAGTCCTTCCCCCGCACTGCTGGCGGCCGCTGGGCAGGAGCTGCGGCGGCGGGAGGCCTGGCTGGGGTTCGGCCACCGAGCGCCTGTCGGAGTGACGGGGAGCGGGGTGCTGGGGCCCAACCGGAAACAGTGGGGGTCTGGGCCCCCGAGCAGGGCAGAGGGCGAGAAGGGCCCACGTCTTCAACCTGCGCCAGTGACCAAAAAAGCTGCACGGCCTCCCCGGCGGGGAATCGAACCCCGGCCTCCCGCGTGACAGGCGGGATACTCACCACTATACTAACCAGGACGGCGCGGGGGCGGGTTCATAGACCGCCTGTGCGCGAGGCTCCCGCCTACCTGCCCGGGACACCCCCCCGGTCCCTGCAGCTCCACCCTGAGTCCCCGCGGCCCCCAATGAAGCAGCCGGTGAGCGAGCCTGAGCCCGACCCCGACACAGAGTGAGCGCTGCCCGTGGCCTCCAACCGGGGCTGCGCGGGAGGAGGCCCAAGAGGGCGAATGAGGCCCCGAAGCGGAGCAGGTTGGCGCGCCTCGTGCCCGGCCCAGGAAGGGGAGAGGCCGGTCGGCTGTTCTTGCTCCCCGTCGCCCGCTAACGCCCGTCCATTGGGCACCTGGACGGGACACACGGGGTGGAGGCCACAGGAGTTCACAGCTGGGTCCCAGCCACGTGAGCGTCCACACTCCAGAGCCTACTGTCAGGATGGCCGAGCGGTCTAAGGCGCTGCGTTCAGGTCGCAGTCTCCCCTGGAGGCGTGGGTTCGAATCCCACTCCTGACAGCTGTCTAAACTTTTGCACGAGCTTCCCCCGGCTGGATTGCATTCATCGCAGCCTTTTCCCGCCTTACAGTCGGTTCCTGACTGGCACCCTTGGGGCCCCTGCAAACTCTGGCCTCCGCCTTACACCCTCAGTTCACCGCCACTCCCAACCCGACCACAAATAGGCAGAAAACCCAGACGCTGGAGGGACCGTGGGCGCTCAGCTGGTCCCTCCACACGTCACCTGCCGGGGTTGGGATCCCAGCGCGGGCCAGGCTTGGTCCAGCTCCTGGTCTCTTCTGGTGACACTGACAGTCTCGCGGCGGCCGTGGACCGCCACGAACACGCAGCAACGGCCGCAGAGTCTGCCTGGGTCTCTGGGTCCTTCGGTTGGCTCTGCGCCGCGCAAGGGTCATAGACATGCCTGCAGCCTCGGTTTTGGGTCCCGCGCTGCCGTCTGCTCAAAAGAAATAGGTGTTGCTGTGGGACCTAGGACTGCCCCTGTCGGTGCATGGGTGGTTCAGTGGTAGAATTCTCGCCTGCCACGCGGGAGGCCCGGGTTCGATTCCCGGCCCATGCAGTCAGTTTCCTTTTTTTGGTCCCACCGCTCTGTTCGCGTGCACCTCGGGCTCCTTCCGCCATACCTCTTACAACACGACTACGGAGCCAAGCCTCCACGCCCAACACCTCTCTGGTCCCTCTTCATCAACCAGATACCGTTTGAGTCACGCCACTCACTACAAGGAACACCAATGGCGGCGCACATAGCTGGCACCTGCGCACTCCCCTTCGCTACCTTTCATCAGCTCTAGCTCTCTCCCACCCTATGCTCTCAAAATTACACAACCAGGAGGTGGGATGGAGCTACTCAGGAGATGGAGACATCGTATCTTCCTGTAAGATCACAAGTCAACAAGGCGCACAAGTAGGTGGAAAATATTTCGTCTCATCTCACAGCATTCCCCACGTTCCCTTTTCAAACACTGGGCCGCTGCTCCACCATTAACAGCGAACGGCATCAACTGGCGAGGGGCGGGGGGGGGGGGGGGGGGGAGGCGGGGGGGGGGCGGGTCAGAGTGCTTTGCCTAAAATGTGAGTGTGGCCGTGCTGGAGAGACACAAGAAAACTTTCCCTGACCGGGAATCGAACCCGGGCCGCGGCGGTGAGAGCGCCGAATCCTAACCACTAGACCACCAGGGAACAGGTATGCCATGGGCTTTGCCTGTGTCTCATGTATAAAGCATTTCTGGGCCACCCACTTGGAGCTTCCACAGTTCCAGTTTTTCTTGCTTTTCCAAGTACAGCCGCCTTGTCTCCCCTACCCACTCGTGCCTTGCCCCCTTCCTGCCTGCGCACCTTCAAAACACTACACGCCTCCTGCTGGCGCTAACGCGGCCCAGGTCGTAAGTCCCAGAGTCCACAGTCCTCGCAGGCGCAGGGGGCAAAACCACTATCTCGCTGCGTTGGCCGGGAATCGAACCCGGGTCAACTGCTTGGAAGGCAGCTATGCTCACCACTATACCACCAACGCCGCGCCGGAGGCGCCCTTTAGAAATTCTAGTCCTAACTGGCACCAGCGCGGGGAACTGCCGCTACCAACCGAGCCAGCCTCAGTAGCTGCGCTAGGTTGTCGATCCAACTGCCTCTCCCGGGCGCTGTCGCTGGCCGACTGCTCCTGTCCCTCCGATTCCACGCCGCTGCCCCCAGGTCGTGTCTCCAGCCCCGGGGTCGCCAAACCCACCTCCACTGAGCGACACCGCCCGCACCGACGGGGCGCGCACCCTCCGCCCACCGGCTGCGCTTCCCCTCCACCAGCCGCTTTGGGAGGGCCGCTCACAGACGCTGCGCTGGCGGGAGGATGCCCTGCGTGCCTGCGGGAGGAAAGGTGGGGAGAGGGATTGTTGGGGAACACCCGGCACCACCAGTTGAGGCCCTGGGCCTCGACGCAGGGCGAAGGAGCGAAAGGGGGCTCTTATCGGCAAGCTACAGGACAGAGGCTGTACCAACGACCAAACGGGACACGCCTCCCCGTCGGGATTCCCCCGGTCTCCCTCGTGACCGGCGGGAATGCTCACCACTATACTGAGAAGGACAGGCACAGTAGTTCCTACCCTCCCCCCACCGCCCCCGTTACCTTCCCCAATGCGGCCCTGTGGGTCCCCGACCGGACACCCAACCAACAGCGCCCTCCCACAGAGCACGACACGGCGGCACTGAAACCTCCGAGCGCGCCTCGTGCCCCGGCCCAGGAAGGGGAGAGGCCGGTCGGCTGTTCTTGCTCCCCGTCGCCCGCTAACGCCCGTCCATTGGGCACCTGGACGGGACACACGGGGTGGAGGCCACAGGAGTTCACAGCTGGGTCCCAGCCACGTGAGCGTCCACACTCCAGAGCCTACTGTCAGGATGGCCGAGCGGTCTAAGGCGCTGCGTTCAGGTCGCAGTCTCCCCTGGAGGCGTGGGTTCGAATCCCACTCCTGACAGCTGTCTAAACTTTTGCACGAGCTTCCCCCGGCTGGATTGCATTCATCGCAGCCTTTTCCCGCCTTACAGTCGGTTCCTGACTGGCACCCTTGGGGCCCCTGCAAACTCTGGCCTCCGCCTTACACCCTCAGTTCACCGCCACTCCCAACCCGACCACAAATAGGCAGAAAACCCAGACGCTGGAGGGACTTTGGGTTGCGCCTGGGGGGTCGCTAAAGGGACTGTGGGCACTTAGCTGCTCCCACCATACGTGGCCTGCCGGGCTTTTGATCCGGGAGCCAGCTAAGCTTGGTCCATGGCCTCCTCTGGTGGCACTGACAGTTTGTCTGTCTGTCTGTCTGTATTTATTTATTTATTTATTTATTTATTTTAATGCTTCATGAATTTGCGTGTCATCCTTGTCACAGGGGCCATGCTAATCTTCCCTGTGTCTCCAATTTTAGTATATGTGCTGCCGAAGCGAGCAGACACTGACAGTCTTGCAGCGGCCCTGGACGATGGAGGAAATGGAGGATGGGCTGGCGAGTTCGCCCGAGTCCTTCTGTCCCCGTTGGCTCTGTGCTGTGCCCTAGAACCTTTGACTGCCTGGCATCTCTGTCTCAGGTCTTGCCTCTGTCTCTGCACAAATGGAACAGGTGCCACAGCGGGGGGTGAGCAGGGGCCGGCCTATCACAGTTGCTGTTCGTGCATGAGTGGCTCATTGGTAGGACTGGCCTGCCTGCCACACGGGAGGCCCGGATTCAGTTCCCGGCCCCTGCAACCCACCGGTCCATTTTGGTTCTGCAAGCTGAGACATCCAGGTTCCGAGCTCAGGCTTCCCCTTAAGACACCGGTCCTGCACCTGCACCACCCACACACACCTCTCCTTTTGCTACAACATGGGACCCACTGGACTTGGGAGCTGAACCCCAGCCCCACATCTTGATTGCTCAGCCCCTCCCTTGTCCCTTTTCACAAGCACACGGCTTGAGTCACGCCCTTCACTGCAGAGAACACCTCCTGCTCCTCGGTGACTGGCACCCGCATGCCCGCCTTTCCCTTTCACCACCTTTCCTAGCGCTCTGGCTCCATCCAGCATCGCACTCCCCCCATTACATCGGGTTGGCACAACCAGGAGCAGGAATGCGGCCACTCTTAGGAGATGGAGATGGCATCTTCCTGGAGGGTTACAAGGTCAGCATGGCGCAGGAGCCGGTGCAAAATAATTCACGGTCTCATCTCAATGCACAGCCCACATGCCCTTCATCACGATCAGGGCAACCGTTTTCAAACACTGGCAGGCGGCACCACCCCTAAAACCGACTCTCTGGGACCAGCACGACCACCACCACCACAGCACGGGATCCGCCAGGACCCCCACCAGCGTCCCCTCACCACCCCAGGAGCACTGCTAGCCGCCCCTCCCCGCCCCCACCTGTCACCCCCACAGCACACCCTCCTCCTCTCACATCCCCAAATGCGCAGCCCAGCGCTCCGCCGTGTTCACGGAGTCGGTGGGCCCTGCCTTCACCCCCTCGCGGAAGGCCACCCACGGCACCAGCTCCTTCGTTCCTCACCCTCACCCGCCCGCGCCGGGGCCAGCCCGGGAGGGCACTGCCTGCGGTGACCCGCAGCGCCCGCGGGCGACGCGGGGATCCTGTGCCTGCGACAGGGTCTGTGCGAACGGCGGGGCAGCAGCGCGGACAGAGGTCGGCTCTGCGCCGACAGCGAGGAGGGTTCTGGCGGGACAGAGCCCGCGCGGGGCGCCGGGGCGCCGGCAGGAAAGACGGTGATGGGGACGAGACCTCGCTCGGCGAACCGGGCGCTGTGGGAGGCGTGGTGTGCGGGGGGGCGGGGGACCGGGAGGTGCTTTCCTAACGTTCCTGCCGCGTTAGGGGAGGATGGAGAGCGCTCGGGATGGGATTTGCACACGATGTGGCCAGGACTCCACTGTCCTCCCTGTGCCTCCACCTCCTCCCACAGCGCGGCGCTGGGAGCGCGGCCGGCCTCCCCATCTCCTTGCGTCGGAGTCGGCAGCGGCGGGCCAGCTCTCCGGACGCCGCGCCCACACCTCCCTGCCGAGCGCACACGGCGCCCCTGGGCCCATTGCCACCCACGATGGAAACAGCGGGTCCGAACGGCTCGAAGCGGGAAAGGCCCGGCGGCCGTGCTGGCCGGAGCCTCCGGCTGAGGCGCCGCGGGCTCTGGCAGGTGGTCCGACAACGCCTTGCCCTCCCCGGACTCCCTTCCGAAGGGGCGGCCTGTCCCTGCGAGGAGGGTCCCGCCGACACCCGCGCAGCTGCAGAGCGGGAGCGCGCGGGCCCCTCGGGTTTAGGAGAGAGGCGAGCTCCCGAGACGGAGGAGGCGAAACGCCGGGCTCCGGGGGGAAGGAAGCCAGTGTTGGCTAAAAGTGGGTGCGCGGACGTGAAGAGAAGAAAAGCTTCCCTGACCGGGAATCGAACCCGTGGCGCGGAGGTGAGCGCACCTAATCCCGACCACTAGACCAGCAGGGAGGGCGGGGAAGCCGCGCCTGCGCCTCCAGCGCACCCTCCGCGCCAGCCCCTGGTCTCCAAGCTCAGCCTCCTGTCGTCCCGCACCACCAGGTGCCCCGCTCTCTTCCTGCCTCAAAACACTACGAGCCTTCGTGTCCCGCACTCGCACGCAGTAGCGCCCCAGCGTCTAGAGCCCAGGATCCCCAGGCCTTTCCAGGCCCAGCCCTAGGATCCAGCCAGCCGTGGGCAAACTACGGCCCGTTTGAAATGAATAAAACTATTGAAAAAAAAGGACCGTACCCTTTTATGTAATGATGTTTACTTTGAATTTATATTAGTTCACACAAACACTCCATCCATGCTTTTGTTCCGGCCCTCCGGTCCAGTTTAAGAACCCATTGTGGCCCTCGAGTCAAAAAGTTTGCCCACCCCTGACAGCCCCTCAGCGCACAGTAGGCACCAGGTCCCTGGAGCCTCACAAAAGGTCCAGGCCCTGCCGCCCTCCGAACTCGCACCGAGGACCGGGGCGGAGCCAGCGGCCAAAATGCACGTGCTACCTCCCCGTCGGGGAATCGAACCCCGGTCTCCCGCGTGACAGGCGGGGATACTCACCACTATACTAACGAGGACGGCTGCAGGGGCCCTGGACACGGCCCTATCTGTGGCTGCCAGCCGGCGCCTGCACTGCCCTCCACGCCCTGCCCAGTGCAGGGATCCGCCTGCGCCCCGCCTGATGTCAAACCAATGGCGTCCTCCAGCAAAGCAGCCGGCAACACGACCTGGAGATGACTCGGAGCCTGTCCCCGACCCAACCACGACACGGGTAGCGCTGAAAACTTCGAGTGCGCGCTGCCCGTGACCTCCAAGGCGGGGGCTGCGCCGGGAAGAGGCCCGAAAAGGCAAGCGGGACCGCAAGGAGAAGCACGTGGGCGGGCGTCGCGCCCCGGCCCAGGATGGGCGGCGGCCGCGTTAGGCAGTCAGCTGTCCCTGCTCCCATCGGCCACGCCGCCCGTCCACAGGGCACCACGACCGCCGCCTGACTCCAGCGACGCCGTGGAAGGCACAAGGGCTCGCGATGGGTCTCAGCCATGTGAGCTCTGATACAGCTGGACCTGTGGTCAGGATGGCTGAGCGGTCTAAGCCCCGGCGTTCAGATTGCAGTCTCTCATGGAGGTCTGGGTTCAAGTCCCACTCCTGGCAGCCGTCCTACTTTTTGGCTTGCCAAATAAAACCCCTGTCGCGCACGATCGACACCCATCGCAGCCCTCTCCGACCATGGAGCTGTTTCCGGCTGCACCCCTGCGGCCCCTGCAGACTTGGCCTGCGCACCCCCGGCAGAGGCGCGGCAGGTGGAGTCCAGCTGCCAAAGGCTCACGCTTCTGATTCCCAATGCGCCCCACAGAACGCGTGCCCACCTTCCCGGTTCTATGATACCGCTCTTACCTTCTGTCTAGTGCAGGGGTGGGCAACCTCTGGCACGCGTGCCAAACATGGCACGCCAGTAACTTTTGCTGGCATGGGAAACCCTCTCTTATAATCTTCCATTTACAATTTTTTTATTTTTTATTTTTTTAGTTTAACAGACATTTATTCCTTTAGTTGAACAACCTCTACACACAAAACAGATGGTTTGAGATTTGAGTGGAAAGGAATTTAGGTCTTAAGAGGTTTTATGAGTTTGCTTCATGTTTCTGGAAATCATTTAACCAAGCCTTCTAAGACCCATGAAGAAAATAAGAAAAATTGGTTAAAAAAGGAAACCAGCAACTAGGATTTTAGAACCAAACTACCTATTAAGTCAGCAAACCCAGAACTGGAAACTGGAGCCAATTCCTCTCCTATATTGCCTACACACTCAGATTCACCCTGGGAAACAGAAGCCTAGTCTATTTTAAGACAAGAGCAAACATAATGTGGTGGTATGCTTAACATTAAGGTGAGCACAACTGAAGGCCTGGAAAGTTTGTGGATTGGTAAGGATTTTGAGGGTAGTTTGAGCAGGGATGAGAAAAATGACTAGACAATGCCCCAGGTTAGACTGGAAACCTTAAACGTGCACTGACACCAATACATGACTACTCTCAGTAACGTTATAGGAATAATGGATATAGTGGGTTGGCCCAAGATGACTTATAAGACTAAATGAACTAAGCACAAGTACCCTTAAATAAAGTCAACCGCATTTTCCCCCTTAACGTGGCTAACGGGTTCATAATAGTTATAACACAACACACCTTAAAGCTAATTCCCCTTCTCATTTGTTCAATTTCCATCAGTTTCAATACACACCAATGTAATTACTATTACTACTTTGCAGGAAATTCAGTCATGGGATTGAATCAGGGCTTCTAGCGTTTACGTGAAAGTGAATGGTACTACGGAGACCAAGCCAGTTTTGTGTAGGTAAACTAGAATGTTTAATTTTAAGAGAACCCTCTTTCAACAGAATCATTCAATACTCCTAAAAAAATTGTGGCATCCTTTTAAACTTTTCTTCTTTCAGAAGCAGCAGTTATATTGGGTTAATCTAAAAAATGTGAACCCCCTACTTAACTTTCATTTTTCTGCACAGGACCATGAGAATGGATTAGGTTATCTTTCACATTTCCAAGCAAAATTCAAACTCCAAAAAACAGCCCCTTGAGAGTAAACAAGCAGAGAGCATTGCATTACCCTAATAAAGCTGTAGGTTTCATCACATGCACCAACAAATCTACTGGCTAGTTTTGCACTCCTTCACAGAATGTTACACCTATACCAAACACTGACATAGGAAACTCCCTAATAAGATAAAGCAGCGATTTTCAATCCGTATACTGTGGCACACTGTGGGACACAATTTTTAAAACATGCAATACCTGACTAGTCAGGGGCACTAACCTCTAGCCCCCTTAGATTGTCAAGTTAAAAAAGAATGGATCAAAATACCTATTTTTGGCCGAAACCGGTTTGGCTCAGTGGATAGAGCGTCGGCCTGCGGACTGAAAGGTCCCAGG